CATGAAGTGAAATTATATCATTAAATAATAATAATAATAATTAATTAATAAATATATAAATATATTAATAATAAATAATATAGTCTTTCAATACCAATGACCAAAAACAAAACAAAATAAATAAAAAATAAATAATTAAAAAGCGATACTGCATCCAATAGTCTGTTGCCGTGGAGATGATGAGGAGCACGAGGGCCGCCATTCCACACAGAGAGGCCCCGCCTACCAGAGTGAGCACCATCAATCAGAGGATCGGGACGTCGTCCTGCACACACACACACACACACACACACACACACACGCGTTCACTAACTGATCAACACTGTACTGAATACACTAGTGCTGAAGAACTGACATTAAGTTTGCGCTCCAGACGTCAATGATTCCTCTTGTTCAGGAGAGAGCAAACACCCATAGCAACCCCATGGCAACATGCCAACAACCAATCAGAAACCTCCCGCTCTCTCTCGCGAAGCCAACACGGAAGTGACTTAAACTGTAATTCATCGACTGGCCGCTAGAGGCTGGCTGCAAAAGGGAGTCAATCCCATAGACTCCCCATGTTAAAATGCCCAACTTTACAGCAGAAAAAACATGTTTACAGCCTGGTTCAAAAAATGATTTTGGTCTATATAGCTAATTTTGCCCTTCATGACAACTGTGAGGGGGGTGAATTTTTTTATAACTCATCCGTTTAAATTATATTAAGCCTTAAAGTTCTGCATAATTAAGGGCGTGGCCACTTGAGTGACAGGTGGATCTACCACCGTCGCGCTAGGTGGGCGTGGCTTCAGCAACCAGCTCCCGCCTCTTTGCCCATCTTCGATTATCCGGGAGTGACGCGCGGTGACGCGCTGCCAAGATGGCGACCGCCGGCTCCGCCCACTTTTGAGCTTCAAAAACGCTCTTCGGAAACCTACGGGTGACGTCACGGACACTACGTCCATGTTTTTAATACAGTCTATGGTAACCGCATAGCAACTGCCTGGCAACCACTCAGCAACTTCTGCACGTGTAAACGCCGCTCATATTTTCGGTAAAAGTACATTTGAAAATATTACATGGAAACGTGATTCAGCTTTCAGTTTTCTCAGGATAAAGACTTTAAAACAGAACATGTACAAATTTAGGCAAAATACTATATTTGTTAGTATTACAAATAGCAAACAAACTTTAATGAATATATTAGTAAATAAAAAAAACACAATAATAATAATAATATTCAATTATAGGATAAATTAAATATATTTGTGCAATTTTTATATTTTTTTATGACAAATATACAACATATAAACAATAATAATAATAAAATATAGGACAAATTAAAAGTATCTGTGTAATTTATTCAATAAATACAAATTTAGACAAAATACTATATTTGTTACTATTATAGATAGCAAATAAACTTTAATGTATATATTAGT